ATTGTAAGTTTTTAATAATTATAAATAGTAAATAATATTCATTTAAGTCATATCATGAACCATAAACAAATATCTTTGCCTGCTAGTGTTTAGAAAAAAAAAATATTATAAATTGTTTAAATAGAATATATAAAGAGTCAACCCCAGATATTATGGCCAGTCAACACCTGCAAAAAAAATGACTTTTGGTCGGATTTAGCATAAAAATTCTATCCGATATATAACTTTGATCTTGGTTAAATTAAAATTCAGTCCTTACATCTTTTATCTGTCATGGCGAATGGACACCTATCTCCGGGTTCTCTTATAATATTGGCTTAGTAGAAAATAAATGGGAAAAATTTTTTCCCTCTTTAAACAGAGATTCTCTAGATCCTACTAAGTTAAAAATGCTGAGACCCCCCTCCCGGTTACTAAGATAATAAATAAAATTACCATCTTGAGTCACCTCCCCCCCCCTCCTCAAATTTTAATGGTGTGCAATTTTTCTTACCCCCATCCCATGTTAGAGGAGTTCTATTATGATCTTTTGTGGGTTTTTAATATAGTAATAGGAAAAGAAACCCCTGAAAATACCCCTCCTTAAAAATTTCACATAAAAATAGTTTGTTTTTTTAATTTGACTCTTATAAATAACACTTTATGAAATTCTCACATATATAGAATTTCTTCTACGAGATCTTTTTCAAATCAAAAATCGAAAAGTGGTGATGAATTATTAGAGATGCTTTATCATAATAATATATGGGGGCTGGATGAAGTGGGAAGGGGGGGGGTAGAGTGCGAACCCGATTCTAGGCCTATTTTCCCCCAAATTTTATACTTAACTCCCAAAAAAATTATTAAGGATGTAACGGGAGAGAAATAATTGTTATTCAAACCACAATCAGTTTAAAAAATACATACTATTTATTCATGTCTACTGGAATACCTAATAACGCCAACGCACCTCATGTTGTAATGTAATGTGGAAGGAGAAAATATAAATATAGTTAATAATTTTTAAAGTTATTCTTATTGCAAATATTTTAAAACTGATTTAAAACAGGTATATCAGCAAATAGGCTAACATCTAATAGTGTTTTTGTGACCTGATGGACGGCTTAGCATTTGTTCCCTTATGTGATATGGTCAATGCAATGACATTCCTGAGATCGATTATCTCGAGCAATGGTAAGGATATTCTTGATTATTTCCAAAGAAGCATTACGGGAGGTCCCAAGAAGCAATTCACAGTCCCAGACACGTCGAAATAAGCCTCAATTTTCTCTGCAAACTTTAAGTGAATGAGAGCACTCTATCTGACGAAGAACGCACAAATAATCAATGGAATCATCATTTTTCTAATCTGGTTGGAAATAAACACCCATCAATCTGGGTATTGATTAAAAAAATGAAATGCTATGTGGCTACCGTTGAAACCAAACTTAGACGATGGCCTGTACTTGATGGGATGGGAAGCCTTCCAAGTTTTATAAGAGCGATTTCTTTCAATATTCGATGTCAATCCATTTAATTATTATATTCTAAATTATATTTGTATATACATAATGATTATTTACCAATAAAATAAATATATCTTATTACCAAATTAGTTTACCTAATATTGTAATTGTGGATGGATGTTGTATTTATTGCTATAGAATATAATTTTTACGAAAATAAGAAATACGTGGATTATTTTACTAGGGGTATATTTTTTCTAGTACCACTTTGGACATCTGCATTTTATCTTGTTTTATGGAGGGTTTTTGAGTAACCTTTAAATAATGAATTAGGGCCTAAAAAATTTCGCTTAATAATAAATTACATTTTTATAAATTTTTTTATCTAAAATACTAATTTTGAGTGTTCCATTATAATACAAATAAAAATATACATTTATTATTAGGTCTTAAGTAAATTTTAAACATTAAAAAAAATATCAGGGGGTATACTTTTGGGTTTTTATTCTTAGGGATTCCTCTAATATTTATCCATTTTTATTTATGCGACCCAAAATAATATAGTTAAAGTTTCCCAATAATGAGGATAATTAATTTTTTTTTCTTAAAATATATAAATTTAATTTATAATCATTTAGGTCGATTTTATCGAAATAATAAATAACGGCTTCGAAGCAATTTACAAAATTGGGATAGGGATGCGGGGGAATATCCCTTTAAAATTCGTGAAGTTTTAGTCAAATATCATTTTAAACAAATCAAGAAAAGAAGTCAATTAGTCGGATTTTCTCAGGACCTAGCCTTAAGCTGCAACCAAACTTTTATACTTTATTAATTTGACTTTGGGAGGGGGGGGGGATTATGTATCTTTATTTCCTGTTGTTTAAAGTAACTTATGGAGAGTAATTAGCTACAGTAATAAATTATTTCCTGTGAAAGTATCGAGACACAGTTACATTTTTAAAAGGGTTAATAGTATAAAAGGTTTTACATTTTTTCAAAATTTAACTTGTAACTAGTTACAGTTGCATTTCTAAAGTAACTAATTATGATGAAAGTTACTTTATAAATTATTCAAATATTTCTGTAACTCAGTATTTATTAATATAATATTTTTTTAATACTAAAATAATTTTGCGATTTAAAAATTTTAATTCAAAGGGGAACTTAAAGTGGAATAAAATTTAAATAAAGAAATAGATGCTATGAAAAAAAATATATATTATTTTCACCAAAAATAAATGTATAAATAACTGTGAAATGTTATTTTTAAAATTATTTTACGAGGAATGGCTGTTCGTAATTTCTACACAAATAAGCTTCCTTAGACTAAGCAAACTTTTTCCAAGAACGCCTTTATGATAGTGATACATTATATTTAATAAACTATTATTTTAAATTTTGGGATATCATTATAAAAAAATTGATATTGAGAGATATATTTGTATAATATCTTATCTTAAAAAGTAACTTAAAAATTAATTCGTTAATTTTCGTTATATTCAAAAAAATTTAACTTATAATTTTAACTCACGGAGTATTATTTTTTTCTTTCTATTCTATGACTTACTTATTTAAACTTGAAATAAAATTCATATAAATTTCTTAAACTTTACTGTGCAAAATTATAAATAAAAAAATAAGCTTCAACATCTTTAGATACATTATTTTTAAGATTTTATGAAAGTTCCAAAACTTTAAAATATGATTTATAAACTTTTAAAAATTTGTGCAAGTTTACAAACAAATTTTGAAGCTGCCCACCAATTGGCAAAATAAAGATAAGGGGGGGGGGGTGATTTCTACCTTTTTACAAAAATATTATTTTAATCTAGTAAAAAAAAATTATAATCCCCACCTTCTTTCCCCTAATTAATAATTATTTAAATAATAACTATAGAAATTTTTGAGGGAAAAAAGGTGTAAAATTATTTTATGCAAATGTAATCAAGCCAAAAGCTTTCAAAATATTGGCCTAGAATATTTCAAAATATTTATGGTCAGAAAATGCCCACAATGCACCTATCCCCGCGAAAATTCTCTGTGTACGTGATTCAGTTTATTAAATATATTTTTATATATATCTTTAAAATATTACTTTATATCTTTAAAATATTACTCTTTTTTTTTGATTGACATGTTTTATCATAAGATGTTTTTTTTAACTTAATTATTAAAAAAAATTAAGAAGAAGGAAACAATTATAATAATTATGATTGCATATTAATTCAAGTATTTAATATTTATATGAAAACTCTTGACTTATTAATTTAGTATTTTTTTTAGTCTTAGGTTCAAGGAAAGGGGGAAAGTTAAAGACATGCAGATTCACTGCACAGTATTGTTGTTAAACGGCTCATTTAAGCCGTTTGCCATAAAAATATTGACTAAGCCTTGAGATTTCGTTAAAATAGATATTCAAACCGTTGTGCCATCTATGAGAAAAATCTTCAGGCCTGCATTATATTTTTCTAGATAAAATATTGAGTTAGCCGTTTTTGTGAATCGGCTCAAATCGAGCCATTTAACAACACTACTGCGCAGGCCAGAATTTTTTAGGTTCTATATAAGGGCACATTTTAAACTATTCATCTAGCACGCTTTTTTTTAAAAAAAATAAGCGTAAAATCATGTGATTATAAACATATGAATACAAATTTAAATAAATCAGCTGTTGTAATACCAATTTCCTTGCGTTGGACCATAATCGTGTAGAAATACAATTTGATTATATTTTTCATAAACCATAAAATTGGCAAAAATGGAATTTATTTGGCTCATTTTGTTCTAGATAAATTTGAAAAATTATGACAAAATCAATTTCTAGATATTATGTAAATTGTCTGGATAATATCTCAACGAATAATTTCATGTTCATCTTTTCTAACAATACTCCTTTGTTTAAGAAAATTAGTTTATTTCACTTATAATACGTATTAAAGCTATATTTTAATATTTTCCTAAAGAATAATGGTAGGATATTGTTTATTATATAATCTTTGAACAATTCATTCTAAATGGTCTCTCTTTCCTAATCCATCAATTTATATGAATGAAATAAAGTACTTTCTATTCTTTATTTTTTATTAAATTTGAAATGTCCATAAAGTTCTTTAACACAAATCAATCACAATTAAAGTGTGAGAAAAAAAAAATCATATTAAAATATTGCCCTCTCCCTACCCCATATACTATTACAATTAGTGAGAAAAGTAATTTCCATTTTTATTTACATTTTTCCCGCTATTCATTATTTATCTCTTTTATTTGTGAAAAGTTAAGTGCTTATTAGAATTTAAATAAAAAAAAATTAAGTTTACCATTCTAATCTACTAAACTACAAGTTATTACATAAATAAATTATAAAAACCAAATAATATTATATTATGTATATTAATCCGAAATTTTGTCTAAAATTATATAAAAGGAAGTAAGGAAGTGGCTTTTCCCGTTAAAATTTATTCGTAAAAAAACGGCAAATAAAAATTTGTTTTACATATATATAAATAAATGTAATAATATTGTTATATAAATTAAATTCATTTTTGTTTTTACCTTTGAGTTGGTATTTTGGCGAGTTTTTTTTAACTTTATTATAATGGTATTTATTGATTATAGATTTAGGAATAAACTCATGATAAGATTGATTATTCTTTATTTTTTATTAATTGCAGTTATTTCATTTTGAACAAAAATATTGATAATAATAAAAATGTATTGTTTTTTAATCTAAAAATTTTAAAAAATTAAAATTTTAAGTTTTTGTAAATTATATTTAATAAAAAAAATTTATATATATTATAACACATTTATACCAATTAAAATATTAGAAATCTTTATTTTTTTTAAAAAAAAACAATATATGTCAATCAAGTTATATTTGTTAGACGCCAATCATCTTAAAGATTTATATTTTAAAAAAAATAGATAAAACGGTAATTTCTTAAATTTTTCCCTCCTAATAATAAATTCTCAATTATATAATAATTGGAATAATGTTCGAAAAAATTTCAATTAGCCCCTCTCGGAAAATAAAGTTTTATTAATTTTAATTTCTTAAATTTTTCCCTCCTAATAATAAATTCTCAATTATATATTAATTGGAATAATGTTCGAAAAAAGTTCAATTAGCCCCTCTCGGAAAATAAAGTTTTATTAATTTAGGATAATATTAAAATGAAGAGTTCCAAAAAATTACTTATAGGTTAAATGTAGGGCAAAAAAATTATAAAATATCTATCTTCTAATAATTAATCCCCACCCCTACCCATTACCCAAAAAAGTTAGATACTTATTTAAATAAATATTGTGAGATTCATTGGCGTATACCAATTTACGGATGGAGGATTTATTAAATAAATATATTTTTTATAAACCGTATCTCCTACGATATACTGAATATATTTATTGTTGGAGTAACTATTAATTATAAAATTTATCAGAGACCTGCAAACTTGGTCTGGATATAAGCCCAGCCCGGGTACACGGGCTGGGCAGTGTCCTAATTTTTTTAAAAATACCCGGCCGGGCCTTATATTTTAAAACCGAATATTTTATAGCCATTATTAGCTATAAAAGATTAGGGAAAAAAATCCGGGGCGGGCAAAAAAATCCGGGTTAAAAAGTCCGGGCCGGGCCTTGCAAATGATCCCTCTGCAGGTCTCTAATATTTATACCATTTTTAATTAATTTCATTGGTGCAATTTAATCTACCCAGATCCGAATTTTCGGATATTTTTAATAATATATTTTTTTTTTAAATAATATTATATTTTTATAAATAATTTTATTTGAGATAATTCGCGATAGAAATATGTTTAATATAATATCAAAAAAAATTTAAAATAAAGTAACAGTTGTAATAAGGGGTTAAAATTCATTAAAATCGTAGAAAACCGTTGAAAAATACAATTTGAATGAATAATTTGTTTTTGACATTATTTTAAAGTATTTTTTTCTCCTAGATTGGATGAAAGGTTGGGGGCATAGGTTAAAGGTTCTTACATAATTTTAAAGAAAATGACGGACGGCTCAAAACAAATAATTTTAACAGAAAAATTAGTAGTGTCTGTCATTAAATATTATTTTAAGCATTTTGTAAGTCCGTAGCTTAGGATCTTAGGTCTTGATGGAATTGAAAATTATCAAAGAATTCCCCCAAGATTTTCAAATAGTCTCTTCTTTATGCCATCGTGGTTAGCCAGATAATCATTCTTAAAAAAAAAATTTTTTTCCAAGAATACTAAGAAGAAATCTCATTTTAAATTAAATTACATGTTGAGTTTAAATGTTCTATTTAAATAAAATAAAATATTGAACTCATTTGTAATAAATAAATACATTTATAATAATTCATTATTATTAGATGACAATTTATATTATTTTTTTTTAAATGAAATTTTCAGATATAATATTATAGGACCTTTTATTTTAATATTTTAGTGAGATAAACTATAGGTCACTGTTTATATCAGGGACTTCTACTACAGGGGGGGGGGGCAGGCGCGTAACCAATGGGGGGAAAGGGGAAATTCCCCCCCCCTTATTGCAAATTTGACTATTTTCATAAATATCATTTTAAGCTAATAAAAATTTTACCCCCACCCCCAGACCCCCCCCCCCACAAATCAAAATTTTACAAATATTTGAATATCAATTTTCCAACATATTATTCAAAAATATTAATAAAATGTAAAAATATTTAGTCAAAGAGATTGAAATCAAACGATAATTTATAAATAAGGCTGAGCATGAAAAAAAGTAATGTGTCGTTAGCAGCGATATCATTATTGAATTCAATTGATCAATCAGAGTTTATCATTGCTGCTAGTTGCATCAATAAATTATTTTTAGCTCACTACTTTGTAGAAATTTACAAAAACCAAATTTAGATTTGGTTCAAGTTATTGATTTGGCGGAAAATATACATGAACAGGTAGATACAATAAGAATGAATGTAGATAAATATTTTCATAATATTTATCTAGACGTTGAATCGAAGGCTAAATTTTATGATATAATACTAATTAAACCTCGTCTAGCACCTTGGCCATTTTTGAGATGAAAATAAATATTGGCTCAACTGAAGAATATTCTAAAATATCCATTTTCATCCCATTCTTAGATACTTTTTTATAGCAAATAAAAGTACGGGTTTTAGATAAAAAACAAGTCTTTAGCAATCTTCAAGTTTTATTACCCAAAGATCCTTCTTCATTTTCTAATGCCACTATTGGTAAAATTAAATATTTAGAAAAATTTTATTCCTATGAGATTGATACTGAAATAAATTTAATCAGTGAATTCGAATTGTGGTATAAATATTTATACGTTTAGCTATTTTACCTGAGCATGCTATTGATGCGCTCAATCGGTGTAAAGAAACCTTGGCTCAATTTCCTAATATTTCGAAGTTGTTTTATATTCTTGCATGTTTGCCTATTACAACATGTACGAATGAAAGGACTTTTTCCAACTTGAGAAGGTTGAAAACATATTTACGAAGTACTGAATCTCGGCTAAATGGGTTAGCTCTGTTAAATATACACAGAGATTTGGTTCCAAAGACAAACGAAATAATTAAAAATCTTGTATTTGATAAGAAGTTAAAAAAAACTTGTTAATTTAATTATTTTCTAGTCAATATTTTAAACTACTATTAGTATTTTCAATAAAAAAAATTATATTCTACTTATATTGTATGAGAATTTGAGCTGAGGCTAGTTTTTAAAGCAAATTTTATAAAAAAAATGACATTACACTTTATTTCAACTTTACATATAAATAAACCTTTACATTTAAAAAAACTTTATTAAATATAATATACCTAACTTGAAATAATAAAAAAGAGGCTTGTAATATCCTATCCATAAGCACGAATTAGTAAATAATAGTTAAAAATAGAAATATAATTATTATTAAATTATTCATAATTTAATAGAATAGCTAAATAAGACCCGGCCGAAGGCCGGGGAAAGCTGGCCGAAGGCCAGGTAAAAGGGGTTTGGGAGGGAAGCCCCCAAAAAATTTCCACCCCCTATAAGAAAATCCTGGATACGCCACTGGGGGGGGGGGATTTATGACGAAAGATTATCATTGAAATGGTGTAGAAGGCTATGAAGACGCTATCATAATTTGAATAAATTTGGAGGGGCTAGGGGGTAGTTTTGATTTGGAATTCTGTTTTTATTTGCTAATTTAGATTTAAACTTCCCTTTTTGTTCAATTGTTAAGTTGGAGGTAGGGGATATAATTTTGAGGGGGCATGAGTAGTAATTTAGGGGGAATTATGTAGTCATTAGCTTTGGGAGGGGGTGGGTGTAAAAGTGTCTGGTCTAAATTTGCTTGTATGCCTGATTCAAGGGTTCAAGTTAATAAAAGAGTGGATTAATCAATGGTTTTATCTTCTATATTTGATATAATCACATCTATACAATATGGCAAAATTTAGTACAATAAAAATTAAATTAGTAGTATACATTTGTCTCCTTGAAATATTACATTACTGCCAGTGGTTTGATGGATGTCTTTCATATCTTATCACACGTCATCAAGCCTTTTTTTAAGACTCTAACAGAACATTAAAAGAATAAACAAATATAGTGTTAATTTTAAGTGGCATTTCTACGAAAACATCAATTGATCAAAGCACCCTTCAATATAGAAGGTATGTTCTTTAACGAAAAAGTTCGTGAGGTTGCAATGCATGGTCAATGGTAATCAATTTAATAAAAAGTGTACAATAATAATTTATAATGACTAGTAACAATTAATGATTGAATTGGTTCATCTAAAATAATTAGAAGATAAGGATTTTTTTAGTATGGCAGGAGTTAGATTAGCTGGACAATCTTCACTGAAACAACTCCACTTACCCCTATTTCTTCTAGCTTAGATTCAATCTTAATGTCGCGATTAGTTCTATACAACTAGTATCTTACGAATTTTCACCGCCTTGATAGGAGTCTAACCATAAAACTACATGCGATACTTAGTTACATTTCTAAGGAAGCTAAAAATATTTTTTTTTAGTGATAATGTAAGAACACCTATTTGTTTATATAATAACTCCTTCATTTTATTAGTAAGGTTTTTGGGAATCTTTGATAAACCCGGGGCACGTCGATGCCAGAGGCAGGTAGGTAAGGCAATTAACACATTTATCAACTAAAAATATTACTCCTATGTCAACTTGATTATTATTTTATATTAAAAAAAATATGTTTTTATAACTAAATCTATATACAATATTTTCGTATAGATTTTTAATATTACCCTTAAGTGATAAAACTTACATAAGATATCAAATAAATGACTAAACCCTATTCTATTATCTGTATGAGTTTAATATTATGGAATTAACTGTTCATATTTTAGTTTCATCATTTGTTAATGTAGTAGTCTAGAGGCATGTCCGGCAGAGACACGTATGTCTGTTTATGACAATTGAATTATTATTTCTAAGTTAATTTCAAATGATGCGAATATATAAAAAGAAAAGGGCGGAATTAAGTTTTATGATGCAAACAAAACTAGCTTATCTACTAAATTATACCAATCTAAATCAAGGGTTTTGAATTGAATATA